TGATCTCGGATACAATAATATTTGACCTAACACTGCCCCTTTTACCAATTAAGCTACATGTCAAAAGAGAAATAACTAACCTTCCTTTACTAACTTATAAAATGAAACATTCTTTAAAGTGATATCAATAGTGTAAAAAAGTTAAATCTTCAACATGCAAACTTTATGTTTTTGGATCCTTTTGTACGGATGTATTGGAAGGAAGGTGGGAGAAAAGGAAAAAAAAAATCCCGTCTTGTCAAGTTCTTTTCTAGAGGAAAATAAAATGAAAAGGAAAAAGGAGAATGTTGTTTCTCCTTTCAAAAAATTTCTGCCTCTTTTGTCACCTGAGCTGCATGTCGAATGTGAAATAACTAACATTATTTTAGTAACTTATAAAATGCAACATTTCTAAAGCGATTTCAATAGTGTGAAAAGTTAAATCTTCGGTAAGTGACCTTTATGTTATTCGGTCTTTTTGTACAGAGGAATAAAAATCTGGAAGGAAATTAGGGGAAAAGGAAAAAAAATCTCGTCTTGTCAAGTTCTTTTTCAAAGGGGAAAAAATGATATTTGTTCACCCTTTCAAAACTTTCTTATCCCTTTTGTCAACTAGACTGCATGTAGAGAGCAAAATAACTGACATTACTTTATAACTAACAAAACGCAACATTTTCGGAAGCGTTTCCAATAATGCAAAAAGTTAAAATTCAACATGTAACGGTTATGTTCTTAGGTCCTTTTGTACGGAGGAAGTGGAAGGAAAGTAAGGGGAAAATCTTAAGTCGTCAAGCTTTTTAAGGCCAAAAAGCAAAGAAAAAAAAAGTATTATTGTTTATCCTCCCGTAACTTTCTACTAAATGTGGAAAGAAATGAATGAAAAAAATAACTACTAAAATTATTTATTAAATATTACACATATATCCATTAATTTACTATATACAGAAAAATAAATAAAAATAATTTTATGAAAATTATATATTTTCTTTTATTTTCTTCTACTCAATAATTTATGCATAGAATTCACCATTAGCAAAATATATTACAATTTTTTATTTTATTAAAAAAATAAATTATTAAATTTATTAAGAAATTAGAATATTTTTTGTTGCTAGTTTACGATACAAGTTCATATCATATTGTATCATAAAATACAGAACTAATAAAAAAGGGAGACAAGATAATAATTTCATTTAGATACAAACCATTTATTAAGATATAATGGTAATTTTATTTAAGAATAAATTACAAATTTTATCCATATGAATTGGGTCCCCTGAATAAACTAATCACGTGTAGTAGTATTGTGGTTTTAGTTTTATATGAACTAGGTCTATGTCTTTAACTCCGTTAGCCTCATTTCGTTTAAGTCACACTGACATTTTTGTTCTTTTAGCAATTAATTTCATTTTTTTTATTTTCTTGTAAAAATATAAAATTGTTACCTATAATATATACACACATGTAAACATATACATGAAAACACACAAATGTTACAAAACCCTCATCGGCGCCCTTACTTCTGTCCTCTCCAGTCTCCTCTATCCTACCACATTATCGTTTTCCTCCCGTCTCCTTTTGTCCTAGTACATCACCATCCTCCTCCTTTGCTCTCCCTCCTCCACCGGCCACCGCACCTTTCCTATTGGCTCTATCTTCCCGCCACACCTGTGGGTTATACAAGTCACTACGACAACACCACATTGATGACCCCTTCCCTTGTAGCAAAAATTGGTAAGTGAAAAGACAAAAATGATGTGGAAACTTACTATATATGAGCATAAACAATAGCTGAAAAGGCAAACTATAAGGTTGTTCTAATTTGTTGTCCAGGTGAACCTTGAAATTCTTTGTTAGTCTGATGTTCAAGAATACAAATGACAAACCTAGTAAAATTAAAAATCAAGTAGATACAAGCTAAATATCTTAACTAAGTGGTTCCATAAAGTTCCACATGCTTGCATCAATGTTTCCGGATAATGTTCGAAGGACAAGATTGGTGTTAGTTGTGATTATTATATCTCTAGTGGCAGGTGACATTGGGGGGGGGGGGGACGACTTAGGGAAAAGTGGAGTGTGGTGGCCACTACCTTCGATGGAAATTAATGAAACCTCACAATAGTTATTGATTTTCTGGTGATTGATAGAGTAAGAAGGACGGATGATGAACGGTGGGGTGATGCTGTGGTGATTGGAGTTAAGGATGAGGGAGAGTGCCGAAGAAAGGGAAGGGCGTTAATATAAGTTCTCTTGGGGGACGAAGATGATGTTGTAAGTAGTACATATACAGACATGTGTGTGTGTATTATTGTCATTTTCTTAAAGGAAAATGATAAAATGACTAACATACCTCTGACTTCACGGAATTAAGGTTAACAAAATTAGAGTAAATAATCCAATTCATAACAAAAATAAAACCAGAGGGACTATATATGTAATTGTTTCGCTTGAGGGACCTGATCCATAACTATCAATTAACCACAGGGACTAAATATGTAATTTACTCTTGACCATCAAGTGCCAACATGTTTTGACGACCATTTTAGCCACATCATCATCCAATCCTTTATCTCCACGTCAGCATCCCCATTCCTTAGATCTAGCTCATATCTACAATCAAAATGGCAACTCACCTTCTTCTAGACCCTTCCTTCCCACCCAAGATTAAGGTAAACAACGCAAATATAAAATTACAAAACCCAAAAATATATATTCACAATAATTATGAAAAATAAAAGCAAATTATGTTAAATTTTACAAATATATGAACTTAGATAAATTTCATGAAAAGTTAAGAAAATTCATTTCAAAGAGCTATATTTCTTAAACATTATTAAAATTTACAGTTTTAATCATAAAGGTAGAATCTGACTGATTTGAACTTGTGCTTTAGAAGTCAAAAGTGTCTGTAGGTCTCGTGTTCAAATCTAAAGTGAAATAAAAATCCCCTTGTAGCCATGAAATTTCAAATGTGATGACTCTGGGTTACACGCAAAGCAAGTGGTAGTATTTTGGGATTAGTCGGTTCACATAGCAAATTGAATATCTAGTTAATAAAAAAATTACAGTTTTAGAATTTTTTATTTTAGTGATCACGACATACATAAAAATTGAAGTTTTCTCTAAATGAAAAGTAAAATATTCTAAAAAAAAATGATATTCTTGAATTTGATTTCCAAAATATATTCACAAAATAAGAATGGATATGTTTGTTTTTATGCAATTTATTGGGTAGCTTTATACTGTTATGGTAAAATAATTAGTAATGAATATAAATCAATGTTTAAGGAGATTATTTTAATTGTTTAAAGAAAAAGTAAATTACAAATTTAGTCCTTGTAGTTATATGAACAAATAAAATAATTACAACTATTATCATCGTGGTTTCAATTTTGTTATGGATTAGGTCCCTATACTTAACTTCGTTAGATCATGCTTCGTTAAACCACCCATGTGTGTTCCATGTAAGGGGCATTTTGGTCCTTTAACCTCATTTTAGAAAGAACTATTTATGGTACAAGTTTAGATGCCAATTGTACAAGTATGTGAAGCATCGAAGAAAAAAACATAAACCCAAATTTGTAATCCTCTGACATCATCCTCATCTGCGACTTCTCTAGACATCTTCTCCAACAAATAGAAAACCAAACATAAATCACACAGATACACAACATAATCGTCTCTCTTTCTCTCTCACACACAACATAAGGTAAACCCTTAGGTTCAAGCTAAACCAGATCTATTTATACAACAAATCAGATGCAAAACCCAATTTTGAAGGAAAAAAACATAATAAAATCACCATTTCTTCTACTTCATAATTCATAGATTCATCTTTATTGCTTCAAGTTCGGAAACAAAACACTATATCATCGCATGAAAATATAAATCATGACCTATATAAAAACCTAAATCAAATACATGAATAAACATTAAATGAACAAAATTGAGGATTTGATTTCCACATAGAAACAAAATGGTTGTTTTAACCACATCGGTTTCAAAACCTATGATTCACCTTTAAAACATTTGCATCATGGTTGTTTTAACCTCAATGGTTTCATGACTTGATTTTTTATGTTGGGAGAGACGATGAAGGTGTCATCTTTATGATAACAAAACCATTAAATTCGTCACATATGGGTTCAAAAACCTTAATCCTCTATCTTTTTGAAACTCGGTGAAATCATAATCCAAACCACGAGGAAATCCAAAATCCTTTTCCTTTGGTTCTCTCGTTGAAGTTTGTTGGGACCGACAAATGGGGGGTTTTTTTTTTTTAAATATGGTTTCGAGGGATGGGGTTGGAGACGAACCCCTAAATCTCTTTCCTTCAATTTTCTTGATGAATTCTGGAGGGGCTGACGACTAGGGTTTTCAAATCTAGGTTTGATGGATGGGTTCAATGGAGACGAAACCGAAATATCTTTCCTTCGATTTTCTCGATAAACTCTACAGGGGTCCAGTGACTGTGGTTTTTCAAATATGGTTTGATGGACGGGGTCGATAGAGATGAGACTCAACAATTGTAGCCATTGACTACGACAAAGATAGAGTGTCACAATGATAGCCATGGTTTGAGTTTTTTGGTGATTACTGGTGTAAGAAGGACAGAGGTGGACGGTGAGGGGATGTTATGGTGGCCGAAGTTGAGGGAGTGCGTCAGAGAAAACGGAGGTCGGGATTGGGAATGATGACGTACCTACTGGTGTTGGCAGTTTCAACGTATATATATTTTTTATTTATTTAAAATAAATGTAAAATGGCCAAAAGGTCTCTAACTTAACGGAGCTGAGTTAATGGAGTTAGAGGCAGGATCTTATCCGTAATAAAACTGAAACAATAATGTCCATACTTGTAATTACTTAATTTGAATAACCCACTCTAAAATTTTCATATAACCGTAGGGATGAAAATTGTAATTTACTCAAAAAGCGAAGGATTATTTTACAGATCGGCACCCCCGGCACTATATAGATAACGATGAGGGATGGAGATGGTTTTAGAGAGAGAAAGCCTAAGAGTTTTTAGAGAGAGAAAAAGGAGCAAGAACAGGGAGAAAGGGTTTTGTCTTTCTCGTCTCTCCCGTTGAATCTTATCACTTTTACAACGATAACCCCTCCGGCCTTTCTCGTCTCTCCGGTTGATTTACGCTCGTCTGCTTCTTGATTCTGGTTCGCCTTCTTTCTCTGTTACCGTATGTGAATCGCTCACGGATCTATTCATTTGGTGTGTTTTCTTTTTCCATTTTGATTCCTTATCCCTTTTGTCGGTTCTTATGATACTTATTATCGGCTTATTGCAATTTTCCTTGAAATTTCATTGATAGCTCGTTTGATGTTCATGGTATCATTTCTATTCGAAATCTTTTTAAATTTTTAGCTTTCCTTTTCCTCAGTTTCTAGGTTTTCGCAATTTCCCCAAATGTTCGTAAAACCTGATTGTAAATACCCAAAAACTGATTTAGTAATTTGTAGGTCTATATGTATATACACACATCATTGTATTTGTCTCTTGTATTGCTGATATTAGAAATATGAAAATGTAAATAAGTGCGTTTTTGTACACTAGATCTTACAAAACTTGTAATATATATATATATATATATATATATATAGTGTGTGTGTGTGCACGCTATTGCTTTGTGATGTAAGCTTGAGACCTCTAGATCATATGGAGTACGACCGTACAGGAACCGATCTTTAGATTTTACATTTGATATCTTTTAGGCATGCAAATGTTTGTTTCAAGTAGAGAATGAATCATCTGGATTGATCTCGAGGATATTTAAGACATTCTTTTTTGTTGTTAGCGTATATTAAAGTTACACCGAGTTAACTCATGGTGTTGTATTGTTCTTGTGTTCTTTTGATACAGATTAGGCATCACAGATTGATTTGAATCAGTAAGACAGGCAGGCAGTGATACCAATTCCGGCTGTCTCCTTTGTCTCTGATGCGATCTATTGTTTTAACCTTCTAGCTTGAGAACTATGAAGATTTGAGTTCCATTTTGGCATTCGATGATTGTTTGTGTACCACACCACCATTAATTTGCAGCTTCTTTCTGAGGTTGGATCTCTTTAGGGAGTTAATCCATCTTCCCAGCCGTAGGCTGAGAACACCCATTGTTGCCTTCCCTTGGTTCATGTCTCGGGATTTGGACAGCCCAGTTCAAACCCAAATGGCTGTAGCAGTTTTTAGAAGTCCTTTAGGGAGGGAGTATCATGAAAACAATCGGATGGAAGGGGTAAAACCTACGGGCAGGAGACGTGTTTTTGTTCAAACTGAATCTGGCTGTGTGTTAGGAATGGAGCTAGATCGAACTGATAATGCCCATATGGTTAAGCGAAGGTTACAGATTGCTCTTAATTTCCCGATTGAGGAGAGTTCTTTGAGTTTTGGAGATATGATATTGAAGAACGACCTTAGTGCCATTCGTAATGATTCCCCTCTTCTTTTAACCAGAAACGTCTTGCATCGAAGTTCTTCAACTCCTTGTCTGTCTCCCACTGGTAGGGATATACACCAGAGAGATCAGAGTGGGCCTGTCGAGATCTTGGGGCATTCGAGTAGTTTTGTGGGAACGAAGCAGATTGTTGATGAAGTTGTGATTGCGATAAAGATTGGCATTGATCCAATCCCAGTTCATAGCGGGCTTGGAGGTGCTTATTATTTCAGAAATAGCAGAGGTGAGAGTGTGGCGATAGTGAAGCCGACAGATGAAGAACCCTTTGCCCCAAACAACCCTAAAGGTTTTGTGGGTAAAGCTCTTGGTCAACCAGGGTTAAAGCGTTCGGTTCGTGTTGGTGAAACTGGCTACAGAGAGGTGGCTGCTTACCTTCTTGATTATGATCACTTTGCTAACGTGCCTCCCACCGCATTGGTCAAAATTACCCACTCTATTTTCAACGTTAATGATAGTGTAAGTGGGAATAACAACAACAAACCTGAAAGAAAGAAGAAACTTTATAGCAAGATTGCTTCATTCCAGCAGTTCATGCCTCATGATTTTGATGCTAGCGACCATGGAACCTCAAGCTTCCCTGTGTCTGCTGTTCATCGTATTGGTATATTAGATATAAGGATTTTCAACACAGATAGGCATGCTGGGAATCTGCTAGTTAGAAAGCTTAACAATGATGAGGTTGGGAGATTTAGTGAAGTTGAACTCATACCCATTGATCATGGTCTTTGCTTGCCGGAAAGTTTGGAGGATCCGTACTTTGAGTGGATCCATTGGCCCCAGGCTTCAATTCCATTTTCTGAGGACGAGCTCGAGTACATTGAGAAACTTGATCCATATCGTGACTTGGAGATGTTGAGAAGAGAACTTCCGATGATACGAGAAGCCTGTCTTCGCGTCTTGTTTCTGTGTACGATTTTCCTCAAGGAAGCTGCTGCTTATGGGCTGTGTCTTGCCGAGATAGGTGAAATGATGAGTCGTGAGTTTCGGCGTGGTGAAGAGGAACCCAGTGAGCTTGAGGTGTTGTGTATGGACGCGAGGAGACTGGTGGCTGAGAAGGTGCCAGAGGTATTGGTTTTATCCCCCAAGACTGAAGCAGACGAAGATGCATTCCAGTTTGAAATCGACTATGATGATTCTGCTTTTGACTCTACTCCTAAATTGTTGGCAAACAACTCTCTTCCTTTCCAGTTTGGGTTTGGGAGAAACCCGCTTTCTAAACTTGAAGAAAGCACGGAAGATGAGGAAGAAAGTGAAGGAAATGAAGAGGAAATGGCAGATATAGTGACAATGATACCTGCTGTTTCAAAGCTGCCAATTTCAGTTAAGAACAAGTGCACTTTTGGTGATGATACGGGTAGTGGTAGCAGTAAGTCGAAATCGAGAGGAGAAAAGGGTAGTAGTTATGTAACGTTGAATTCATCATCTGGACACAGGAGTGCGAATGAGCTGCTTCCAGGTAGTGCGAGTTTTGTGAAGTTGGCAGACATGAAAGAGGAAGAATGGGGTCTGTTTCTGGAGAAGTTTGAAGATCTGGTTTACGCAGCGTTTGCAAAGCGCAAATCTAGTGCCATGGGGCAGAGGCAGAGACAGAGGCTGGGGACTTCTTGCCAGTTTTGAGATATAATGAGATAGGATTGAGACTGGATGTTATATGAGCTTTAATAAGATGGTGTTTTAGGGTTTAGGGTTTGTAGGACATGTTGTGTAAATATTGTTGCCTTTAGAAGATGGTGAGTTTCGAGTTTAGTTGCTTCTTTTTTTCATTCTTCTTTCTCTTCTTGTTCATTTGTTTATAAATAATATATATATATATATATATACATATATATATATATATGTGGCAGGAAATCCTATAGTAAATATTTGGTAAAACTCATTTGAAGTTGGCTCGAATAGCTTTTTTATGTGAATCTTTAGAAATCCCAATGGCATATTGTGTGTTACGAATTGAGATGCATGTATATGTTGTATTTTAATATCCGAAGCATTAAAACACAACAAATACGGCATGTATGCATCTCAATTCGTAACAATCACGTTGTGAAACAAATGGACCCCGATTCTAATTAAGTAAAGTACTCCTCGTTATTCATATCCTTATCTATGGCGAATATGCTATATTTGAAATCACAATCCAATGAATCACTCCTAGAAATCCTGAATCCGTTCTTTAATCCAAGTATAGAATCCAAAAGGAAATTACAATAGATATGATCCATTAATTCAAGGAGAAATCAAAGATGCGTGAACGGAAAATAGAAAGCAAAGCGTCGAAATCTAGAAAAACACGTGATGTTTTCGAAATCCCTCTTTTATACCCCTATTATGAAATCCCAAAAATACTTGTGTCGTGAAAATAGTGGCATCCCTATCATGTTGTTTGTATAAAGAGTTTTTGCTTGATCTACGCGGCTGTGCCTTTGATCTATCTTGCGATATCGCCTATTTTGTGTTCCCTTTTCCCCCTCCCCGTTTAGCTTCTTATCCCCTTTTGCCTTTGATATTCTTTGTTCAAATGCCCGCCCGAACTAACCTAAAAAGGACGAAAAACCAAACTATATGCCAACCAAGAACGAGACAAGTTATGCATAAAACTAAGAAAAAGTCGACGAAAACAATGCTAACTAAAACCGATGCAAAATATGCACCCAACGTCGCTGGACGTGGTAACGTTGAATATAGAGTCAGTAAACTAGCGTATTGAAAACACAGAGAGCAAGATTTGAAACTATATTGATCACAAAAATATCCTCGTATATAATTAAGATTCCACAATCCCATGCCGATACATTCCATACACACCAATACAAACCAAATTAATTAAAATACATACCCTGTAATCAAAATAAAATTAATATAATGTTAAAGAAATATATATATAAGTATATATAACCTCTAAATGCTCAATAAATACGTGATGTTAGACATGCCTCCATGGTCTTTCAGCAAGATTAACACATTCACTAAACCTAAAACAGTCAACAAGATGGTCAATGCTCATTCCAGCAGCTTGCATGAACGAATACACGATCACTGGCCCGACCAATCGGAACCCATGTTTCAGTAAATCCTTGCTAATGGCTTCTGCTTTCGGTGTTCTTAGAGGTACGTTTCTTGGATGTCTGCATCTATTAATGGTTGGTTTGTAGTTTACCGAACCCCACATGTATCCGCTAAAAGATCCATGTGCTTTCGCAATCTGCAACACCAATATAATTGAACCCAAAATCAACAAGAATCTAATGTTAAGATTTTGATTTTTCATGATCATATGATCGAGTTGTGTATATATAATGAACTTAATTGTACCTTGAGGATGCATTTGGCATTTTCAACGATGGATCTGACTCTACTTTCGGCTAACATGATGTCCTTGTTAGAGGCTATTTCCATGATATCGTTCTCTCCCATCTTTGCAACAATGTTTGGTTCAAATCCAGCAAATGCTTCTCTAGATTAATGCAACACAAAAAAAGTACCATAATCATAATGATTCTTACGATATCGATCATTTTGAATAATTAAAGAAACATTAATTGTTTTTGTTACCTGAAAAGATCCTTCCTTTTCAGGATTTCAGTCCAATTGTAATCCATCAACATTCCACACAATGAGAGCAGCTCAAACAGTTGGCTGTTTCGAAATTGTTACAAATTCCCAGTTTAATATACATTGAGTTATGGTTTTGTATCGAGAACTTGAACACTACTCACAGAAACCACGGATCACTTACTTGTCATCATACACCGGAACTCCCCAGCACTCGTCATGGAATTGTACGTAAACTTTATCTGAAAGAAAATGAAATGAAATTAAAATCCAAGTTTCGGGTTCTTCTTTTTTAAATGGATATAACATATGTGTATATATATATATAAAATATAGATGGCCATGAATAATCAAGGGACATGACTTGGGAATGGAAGTTTGGTATATTAGGTTTTATGTTTCTGTCCTACCAAACACCAAATTATTGTAAAATCCACAACAAATGTAACTAAAATACTAATAGATTCCATGACTCATGGTTGACTATTTGTATTCTTTTCGGTTTATTCGATCTTATGAATTCCAATCTAATGCTTGATCAACATTAGTTTTGTGGGTAGAAAGGAATAGATTCCACATCCAAGTGGTTAAAACACATGCCATTTTATTGCCTTTATGATGCCCTTATAATAACAGATAAATTATGTTGCATAATTTCCATTACTAGATTCAATGGACTTAAGTTTAACGTTCCCAACTATACCATCACATTCGGGTCTAAGATTCAAAGCTCGCAAGAAAACACTTGTGTAATCTGTTGATGAAAATGGTGTCAAACTACATAAAAACTAAATACTTACCACTGCTTTTAGTAATCCAGTTGCATCTTCTCAATCCTTCCTCACAGTTGGTGGGATCCAAACTCGGTTGTGGAACTGGAGCATGAACGGCGCTAGTTTTAGCCACGGGCGGCTCTCTTCTAGCAGGTGTTGGTGCAATGAGGTGCAGTGCAGATGAGATGGTCTGCTCTAAGGTAGAAGATGAATCCGTAAAGGAGCCACTCGAGTTATGCGAAAGGGTTAAAGAAAGTGAAGAAAGGGAGAGAAGTGAGCTTGTTTTCTGAATCCCAACAGGATAAACTTTCTTCAAGTGTTTGGATAATAGGCTTTGAGTTGATAACTTCTCTTTATTTCCCCTTGCAGGACTACTGCTGCTGCTGCTGCTGTTCTTCTTTTCGATAACATTTCTCCTGATGGCGTTTTCTTTAGACATTTGTTCAAGGGATAAATATGGAGTCAAAGAACTACTATAGCTTTAATTAAACTGGGTTGGGAGTTGAATATTTATAAAAGGGAGGGAGGGTGGATGTCAAATAGAGAGAAGCTGGTTGGTGAAATGCGGTGCTTTCTTTATGTACCACTAGCATCTTATTTTTCTCAAGAAAATCAAACAAAAGTGAATCAACTTCATTTGAAAATGACAGTTGAAGATTTTTGGACGACAATATAAATATTTCTCAGCAACTGATTACAAATTTAATTAAAATGCATGAAATCGTCCATCTAAGATTCTTGACAATATTTTCAGAAGATGCATACAAGACAAATTTACAACCACTTCCACTTCTCTCCATCTATTCATCTAATGCTCACTTTGTTGAGTTTTTAACATGTCCCGAAAACCTGCAAGTGGTTGAGGTCTTGGGGATATGGTGGAATGTCCCATCTGCTCAGAGTTCGATTCCAGGCATACACAACAATTGTGGTCATTGAATTTACTTGTATTAGTTGTCATGTCTATTGCTAAATGGGACGGATTAATGTACATAATACGTTGATCTAGATCAGATAGAGAATGCTATTAGTTTTGGTTTAATTCGGAAAGAACATTTGTTGATCGGTTGGTCTGCCCAATAAGACTAGTCATAACAACATAAAACTGAAAAACCATTGTCATATTTATTGATTTCCAAGAATACGGAGACATGTTATACTAATTTATGCGCAAATATGGCATGATTTTGTCGACAATTACTCAAGTATTAAGACTATATATATAGGAACTTGCAGAATTTACTGAAGATTTTCATAATTACTAGTTGTTATCGGATTAATAGAAAACTTTAGTTCCGTTAAGAATCGATTAGTTTGTATATATGGGAGTGAAACCAAATTAAGCAGAGAATGCATGTTTGCATTTCTAGTAATTAAAAGTGGTTGGAATGTTAGTCTCAAAGAGGTAAGAACTTAATCCCCACTCCACTTGTAGCTTGCAGGTCTTGAGACATACCCATTGCCCAAATAGATAAAGATATCCTATCTGTAATTGTTCTTCCTGGTCTTTTACTACATGGCCCAAGTATGATGATCATGATCTCAAGGCCAATTTCACACTAGCTATCTGCTATTGCCCTATTATTTATAATACAAGTATCAAGCATGACAGATGCCTCTATGGTACCTAAAACCCACCTAGTACTGTCTCATCATGTTTCAAGTTTCCTTTCCTTTAATAAAAGAAACATCATGCGAGAAGTTTCAATATCATATATTATTAAATACGTGTTGTATTGACAGCATGTAGATGCTTAATCATATACATACACACACACACACACATATGTTGATGTTTCCGTTGCTTAGAAATGAATATCTTTCAAGTGTTTTTGGTTTGAGGTAGGCGCTAATGATTGTGATTCGTATTCATTGTTACGAAGTTGAGATTATTTGAAACCAGAAGACTTTCCTAATTCTAGCTAGAAACCAATTAAGCCAAGGGAATTAAGGTAGGCAAGATTTTCAAACAGATGCCGAGTCTTGGTCACATGGAGCACCAAAGATTAAACAACTACTCGTCGATATATAACTACTTATTTCGTTTATGTTTGGCAAAAAAAGAAAAGACACAAACAAACTCGGTATGTCTTAATAGGAGAAGGATTTAGAGGATACAAAATACCTATCTTCAAACTTCATGTCTACTTTGTCCGATCAATCAACTCCTGACACATCGTCATTTTATTTAATATTTCATGTTTTTATTCTTTTTCTTCAATAAAATGTTGATGTGTCGGGTGGACAGAACGTGCCAAGGGTATGAAGTTTGGGGGACAGATGGTTTGTATTCGATCTATAGGGATAAGATATAATTCAACTCTTCTTCTTGATTTTAGCCTTTTAGGCATAGTAAAATAGAAGTTAAACTGATTTAACTTCATTATAATATTTTGGATGAGCAAGCTGCGTAAATCAAATCGATTGAGATTTTTTTAATATCTTAGGTGGGCCAGCTGATCGAACCCTCCTTTTTCCTTGCAATTAGTGAGATTCTAGAAACTGTTGAAGGAAGGGTCAAAGAGGCTCAGGAAGTGTTTTCACAACCTTCTACTGACATAGTGGTGGGTGTTACTGTCTTATCTTATCTTTTCTTTTTTGGACTCTTTCGTGTCATGCTAATTCAATGTCAGCCGTTGGTGTAGAAATTTTAGCCATTATATGGACTAGAACTGTTTACTTACAAGATGGATTGTTGGCGTGCTTGGCTCGCTAAAAAAAGGTTTTGGTCAAGCATTTTCCAAAAATTTAATGGGACTCAATTGACTAAAAGATTATCTAAGTACAAGATGGTTGATAGACCTGACTTATCCAATTGGATAAAAGAACGGGTTTGGACAATTATTCTTGAAAAAAATGGATAGATCTCAGACCAACTAGTTAGGGACATTAATAGACAAAACCAGTTTCATGGACCAAACAAATCTCTTAGCCATTTCTCTCCGAAAATTTCAAAAATATCACTAACCGCGCAAGTGGTACCTCCTCAATTTGCGGAGGGGTCAAAATGTAGATAAAAAGTTTCTGAACATAGTCCGCAAGTACAAGACCAAATCTATCCACTACTTGCAGAAGTATTTGAACTAATTTACAGATTTGGCTCTTGTACTTGCAGACCATGTTTAGAAACTTTTTTTTTACATTTTAAACCCCTTCAAAAATTGAGGAGGTGTCACTTGCGCAAGTAGTGCCTTTTTTGAAAACATTAGAAGTGAAATGACTAAGAGATGAATTTGATCCCTTAAAATGACTATTTCTATTAATTTCCTGACTTGTTAGAATTAATGGGTATAAGATGAACCGCTAGACTGGTTTGTCTAGCCTGCTAAAGAAGCAGGTTTATACAACCATTCTCGAAAAAATAGGTTCCGAACGACTATTTAAGATTAATGGACGGACATGAGTGATGCAAAAAAGAATTTTTTAAATAGGCCTCTCTCGCCATTTAATAATCTTATAACTAATATTTAATAATCTCTTTTCTAAAAAAACTGTAGACATGGTCTAGGGGCCATGAGTAGCTTGACACATTTATAGATCAGATAAACATGATAAATACCAAATATGAAAAAACTCAGATTTTGTTATATTTGGTCTGCTAGACAAAAAATTAAAACTTTTACTTGAAAATTCCAAGTCTGTATAAATCAACAACATCAGACCGTAAAAACCGATACAACATATCTACTAATAATTACAAGCTTAACCATAAGGGTTGTGGTGCACTACGTGGTTGAGGCCCAAGGAGATGTGACGAAATATCCGATCTACCGTAGATTTTATTCAGACGTTTATAACAATTCGCCACTGAATTATCATGACTGTTGTATTACAATTGTAATTCGTTGGGATTAGTATCGGCATAACGAGACATCCTTCCAAAAAAAATAATTACAAGTTCACCACTTTTGTTTTAAGGGCTAATTTATTCAACTAATACTGCATTATTGAAGAAATATAATCAACGATTTCATCTATATGACATACAATTTTTTTTATTAATCTGGATATCCAATCCGTTATGCAAGCCGACTAATTCCATAGCGGAGTCACTGCGTTTGAACCTCCGTGACCACAAGGGATTTTTATTCTTCCTTGGATTTGAACTTGAGACCTTCAGACACTTTTGATCTTTGGAGTCCAAGCTCAAACCAATCAGATACCATCCTTGTGGTTAGAACATACAATTAAAGACCAAAATATATAGATTTTAGCATTCTTACATTCACTTCTTTAGCATAAACACAAAAATGCAACAAAAACAAAACTATGAAGATAACATATGCATAACACGTAATGAAACTTAACTAACAAACAAGCATGGCTTAAGTCTCGTATTTCCGTGTTATCGAGCTCAAAATTTAGCAATCGTCATATCTGCTTACATCATTTTCGTTTTCCGTTTCCAACTTTTTACATAAAGCAAGTGACCACACTCGAATCTTTTGGCATAAAGAACTCGACAAGCCACCCGTTTCACGAAAAAAAGTCAAAATAACGAAAACGAACACAACGTAAACGAATAGATTGCTTAGTTATTCTTCGGTGGGTGATGCCTTGGTGAATGGTAATCTTCAGTGAAAGCAACAAAATTCACATTTCTGCTTTCCGAAAGCCTTATTCTCCCAAAACCGGTCTGCTTTCCCCTCGCCATCGCATTCATTTTCGCTTTCATGTCGACCATGATTGTTTTATCCACCACCATTTTTCGACCTCTCAATGTCTTTTCTCTTGCTGCTGCAGCAGCAGCAACGGCATATACGTTCTTCGGGCGTACCTATATACATTACATCCGTCATCCATGACATTCATTTCGATATTTATTGTTAGAAAAAAAATAAGTGAACATTAATTTGAGCAATCCATTTGTACCTCTTCATCTGAAGCACCAACGAATCCAGCTCTTTTTTCACCTAAAATTACAGTGAATTTTAACAATTAGTAACATCAACTAAATGATTGCACATAAAACAAATATGGAAAGCTAAGACAAATGTACACTCACACAACACACACACACACACACACATATATATATATATATATATATATATATATACCTTTGTAGCGAGATGCAGTAAAGAGGGTGCTTGCGATGACGAAGAGCAGGAACGAGCTTATGATTATAAACCTTAAAGACATAATTGCAAGTCTTTTGTTGTTGAATATGATATCAGCTACCTTAATTAAGTCTTATAAATTTGTGGGTATATATGTCTGTTTGTAAGCATTCATATATATATATATATATAGAAAGACAGAAAGAAGAAGAAGAAGAAGCTAGAGAATGAAATGCAGATGCTAACATTCCTATATATAGACTCAACTGATCTGAAGCTTAATTAATTAAGTCAAAGAAATGGTTTGCAGAATTCTTAAAACCATCAAAATTGGGGACCAAATGCAATTGTTTAAGGTGTTAACATCAACAATCGTGTCAAACCCCATGTGTATAGTTTCATCAACTTACCCATCATCGATGCTGCCATGATCTCGAGAAATTTTGAATCATTCCTTGCAGATTATTTTATCACTTTAACAAATTTTATTATGAATTAAAATCTTCGTAAGAACCTATTTTTGTTACAAACAATTTATGAAACAATACATAAATATATGTAATGAAAATTAAAAACCTGTAAACACAACATTTTTAACATTTATAAATCACAGGGAAAATTTTGAATTGTAGCATAGTTTTCTTTTATATATTCAAAATTAATTTGGCATTTTTAAGGTGCATGCTATTTGTGCAACAATTGAAGTGTACAACTTTTTGAAATCAAAATCAAGATTTCACGTATGAACTACTTTGAACTCCTATCAAGTGTTCTCAATCATTGATTATCAATCTAGGAATAACAAATGTATGATAAACCAATGCTCACGAATGGTTTTGGGTAGCATCATATGGTTAGGGTTAGAGTTGATAAGTTTAGCCGATGATAATTTAGAATCAATCGTCGGTACGATCAACTAACATGAATGAATTTATAATTGATGATAGGATCGACATAGTATGTCAAGTAGGATTAATTATTTAGGGTACAAATGTGCATATGTACAATGTATACCCGGGTTTAACGATAATGTACCAATTTACATTTACTCTATATTGTGCTGATATATATACACAATAGATCTTACAATACACACACATACACACACACACACATATATATATATATATATATATATATATATATAGGCCTATTCAAGGAAGAACTGAGTTGTTTGTGGTAACTGTGAGAACCAATCTCAACCAATCATTTTAATATATTAATTATACAATTAAAATCAAATTAAAAGGGTATGTTAGTCAATTCTTAATTTAAAATTAAATTTTAATTTTTAAAATGCAACCGTTTCAAATAAAATAATTAATATTGATTTGCATTTCAAAAATAAAATATTGATAAGATTTAGTGAAATAATTCAAAAAAATTAATCCGTTTGTGCAAACATGTTCATGATTCTGATAAATTACATGAAATCACACATATTTGTTGAAGATTGTATCCAT